AAATGTAAACGTTAATTCGATCGGTCAAAATGGAAATCAACAACAATTTCAACAACAACATTTGAATTCTATCCCTGTAGCAGCCGCACAAAACACCTTCAATGCACAAAATGCACCGAATTCACAGTATCAACAACCAAAGATACCCGATTCGAATTTAAATCAAATTAAAGCAGATGCTAACAAAGACACTGGCAAACATTAAACTAGCTAAATAGATTCTTTACACAGATGGCGCATAGAATTTTGAACATTTGCTGTTGGCCATATAAACTGTATTTCTTTCTCTGTATCTTGATAAATGATCAACATTTATATGACGCGAACAATTCTTCCGAGAACAATAACAACAAAAACCGTTAGCACATTTTCATCAATATATCCAATTTAGTGGAAATAGTTGCCGAATCATTCATGAAATTGTTTTGCATATGCTTTATTCAATTGTAAAAAGAATTCCATTGTTGTGATAGTATCAAGTAAAGATTCAAAATCGTATTTAAACATTTCATTTTTTTTAAAACAATAAAAAACATCTTACAAACATTGAGATTGTAAATATGTGATGTGTGTTTTTTTTTGTCTTCAATTTTTATAACGTGAGCCCAAATATGTCGAGTGAACTGAACGATTACTTATGTGAAAACCGAATAAGACCAATGACACACACACATGTGACACGGAAAAGGTGACAACACAGTTAAATATTGACTTACGACTTACAACTTTGTGCTTATCTTTTCCAATGTTTTTTTTTGTTTGGTTTTTGAGATATGACACAGTGAACTAGATATCAGACAGAATCGTCATCAAAAATGTGTATTCGAAGAAGAGAACAAAAAAAGAATAATGGTAAGTTTGCGATTTATCAAATAAGAGCTTTAAAACAACTGAACAAACTATTATTTAAACAATCACAATGTGATCCGTGGTATTTGAACAGTTGTAGCACTATATTTCCACAAGTGATGCTCAAATTCAGCATATTGTCATTTGTTTCTCCTGAGATGAAAAATAAAAAAAAAACTTTTAAGTGGCACATTAAATCAGATCATTAACTGTTTGTGAAAGAAAAAGAGCAAAGGTTTTTTGTTACGTTTTTTTCTGCTTCGTCCGATCTGCATATGATAAAATAACAGTGAACACTGTTGCCTCAACTCATCTTTCAGTGGAGTGAATTACATCTGATGTGAACTATGTATTTCATTCCCCTCTGAACACGACAACGTCTCTAGGCGAATACACTGTGTGTGTGTATGTAGCAAACATGAATCAAAACAAAAGGCATTCAACGAATCAAAATCATAGCCAAACAAAGTGTGCAAAACAAACAGCTTTCTCCCTTCGCGCTTTCGCAGTGCGTGTGTTTTTATTCGATTTTCATGTTATCTGTTCTTTTTACTGGCTGCTGCTGCTTTGTACACTATTTGCCAGCGTGTTGGAGCGTTACAGCTATTACCACACTGTATTTTCTCTACCACTATGATTTCCATCCATGCAACGTGTTATACACAGGGAGCCAAAGCAATGATGGTAACAATTTACTCAACGCGTGTCAAAAACTTCTGTTTACTTGTATTTGGTCTTGTTCTGTCCCCTCGCCAAACGTACACGACGCATTTCTGTGGCAATTGAGACTGTGCTCTGCTTTCAGTTTGTTTTCATTCACTTGCGTTTCGCTTTTTCCGTCTTTCGTTGTCGTTTCGCTTCACTTTTTTCGGCATGATATATTTTCCACAATTGTATTATTCCAGGCATTTGAGCACATTCCATAACACGCTGCCGAAAATGCGAAGCACGTCTTAATGTTTGGCAGCGTGGTGCTGTATGATGTGCACCACCAAACACTCATTTTTTTTTTTCGGCTAAGGTATTCAACCAAAAAATCAAATTCGTTTAGTCAACGTTTGATAGTCTAACTCAGCTGAAGGGTTTTTTCGGTGGTGCGCTTCAGTCTTAAACATTCAAATACATATAAGACGTTACTAACTCGTCTCTCGATCCATACTCAACGTAATGTACTGTAGAAACTTTGAATGGTTCGCGGTTTAAAAGGATCACAACAACAAAATCATGCATAATCCACATTTGTTTTGCTGTCGTTCAAACGAAGATGAAAAAAAAAACAACGAAATAAGCAAAAGGATTAAATATCAATAGTTTTCAAAAAGGGGGACAAAAATGTCCGTTAAATTTGAATTGGTTTGACCGGACGATATGGAACGTATTTTAAGTCGCATTGAGAGAAAGAGAGCGACTAAATTTCGAACAATTCACAAAGCTCGGTGTTAAATTTGCTGCATCCAATGCAGTTATCTAATGGCTTAAAGTTGGAGATTTGTTCGTCTTAAATTGATAAAAGTTTGAACGAAAATCAAATTGGAAAAGTTTAAAAGCTGTTGAAATGTTGAAAAGAATGAACTGAATTTCTCTATTTATCTCAATCAGATGATGGTGGTGATAATGTGCAATCGTGTTTTCAAACAGTGAACTTTGTGATTTTGGTGTGATTTCAATTTCTCTCTCAAAACCGTTGAAAGTGAAAATTTGTAAAAATGAATAACGATTTCAAGAATACGTTTAACAATAATAATGGCGAAAAGCCGATAAATCGCTTTTTTGCCTTGTCCAAAAGTTCGCCGTTCCGACAACGACAACGACCAACCAATTTATTTTCATCGCAAAACATGAAGTAAATGTCCTTAAATAATCTTATATCTATACATATATCAATTTCTATCAATATTGTCCTGTACTTTCCAACAATCAATTAAAGTGTTTGACCCCAATACCAGATGTAATTACATTTCACAATTATAATTGTCAATGTTTGTTTTCTTTTTCATACTCCGCATCCAGTCATATCAATAATAATCTTGAAAATTCAACAAATCGTCTGTCATCATCGAGTTCGGAAGAGGACAATTCACCCACCAATGATAATAAAATGAATAATTGTCGAAAGTTTATTGATAAAGCACCACTTGTGAAGCGACTATCAAATAGTTTGCTTCGAAGTGGCGACGAGTACCGTCCATTGTTAAACGACAACAACTTTTCAAGCGCCAGCAACTATCTATCAGCTTCAACAGCACATATAACATCGAAAATCGACAATATAACTGATGATTCACTTTGTGATGCAGATGAATTGATCGCTAGTAAATTCGGCGATTCGTGTCGCAAATCATTAACATCGGTATTGTTGGATAATCGACGAACCAAAGACTACTGTGAATTTGATTTCAAGCAAAACTTTTTGCGTGAAACAAGCAGCGGTAAATATAACATTCTTTTTCTCTGCCACCCCCATTCCCTTTCGCGCAAATTATTTGCAATGCACACTGCTCAACATACAAATTGCTCTAATTAAAATGAGCGAATCACAGTCAATTTTACATTTCGAATGATTTCTTGTCTTTTTTTATGTTCCATTTCTGCTGACGATCATCAACCTGGGCGCACGTTTGCAATCAAATGCAGCCAATTCAAGCCCGAAAATGTTTGCCTTTTCAACGAAACAGAAACGAATACGTGGTCTTAGTATATTTGAGCAGACCGAATTAAAAGACGCGCCATGGTTTCAAATTGGTGTGCCGCGTGAAATTTCCTTGGAGGTGTTGCGTCGCAAGAATCCGGGTGAATTTTTGGTACGGGAAAGTAGCACAAAGCCAGGCTGTTTTGCATTATCATTACGTGCTCCACCGCCAGCGCCTAAAGTTGTTCATTATCTGATATTACGAACACCACGTGGATACAAAATCAAAGTAAGTTTTCTAATTAACGAACGAAAATTAAAATGTTGTTAAGAATCAATAGCGATTTTTACGATACAATTTAATTGGTGTTTGCAAAAGCGGATTTATTTTTTCGAAACTTTAATTGGATTTATTCATAATTCTTGCGCTCACTTTTTTTTTCATTCAGAACGTCACAAAATCTTATGTTTTCTTTAATTGCTACTATGGAAATATATACGACAAATACGCAAATATAATGCAAAATTTACCCAATTTTTGGAAGATTTTAATTTTTTTTATTGCTTTGGGCATACTCATATTCTGACCGTATTGGCCCAGGGGGTATTGCTTTGTTGACATACATGTTTCAAATATTTTCACCACCAGTGCTGAAAGTTTTGCCTAATCAACTAGAGACGTGTTATCCCAAGAATAATTGGCTCCTTGTGATAAAACATTTCCAGTGAATTTGGTAAAGATTGTTTGGCCCTTCAAATTAGAACGATCCAAGTCAAAGCACAACATTTTAAACTTTTATTCCATTTGGAAACCGTTTGATCCACGAATCGACCTGTGTATTTTTTAAAATCAACATTGATTCTTTTGTAATAATAGCAATTATTGAAACTTTATTGATTGTTTCAGTCATAGTCAAATTAACAAATTGCAGTCTATGCTACCGAAAATCAATAAAAATTCACTTCTTGCTGCATTCCAGTGTATCGGAAAACATAATTATAGGCATAGAAAAGTAAAGAAATTATAGGTTGTGTCTTTTTTTCGCGAATTTAGGGATGTGCGAAGGAATTCACTTCATTAAAAGCACTGATAACTCATCATTCGGTCATGCCGGAGCAGTTGCCTTGTCCATTGGCACTACCACGGCCGAAGCACCTGCCGACGGAACGACGAAATTTAGACGACTATGAAATATATAGCTCGTTGAGTAATTTTCAAAATATGATGATACCAAAGTTGGGTGATGTTTGAACATCGAACGCCATTTAAATACATTATATCGTACACATAGTCTGCACACATTTTGGCGGTTTCAACTGTTATTTTTTCATATCAATTAGCAATAATTTGTCTTTGACGATACCAATTCTATTTTTATTAATGTAAATGGCATAAAGTGCACCCATTGTTCCAAGACTTTTTGACAAAGTCAATTATATTAGTCATTGTCAAAAGTTAGAGAATATTTTTATAATATCTTCTTCACACATGTTAAATTCTGTATTTGTAGCACTAATTTATTAAGTAAATGATGAAAATAAAAGCAAAATTATTCAAATATAAAGAAGAATTTAGTTCAAATTAAATGGATAAACTTTTGTCTTTCTTTCATTCTCATCATATCGACTAATTAAAACAAATGTTAGGCATAGAAACCGATTTAAAACGGACCAAGCACATTATGGTAGGTGAAAGTTGATACGAGCGGAGAAAGTAAACAGATGGACGATTTAGCGGATACCTGATCCAGATGCGAACCTTTTAAAACTTATAATTCACTTTAAAGGCCTAATCTTCATTCAGTTAATTCTGATTAAATCGTTTTTCTTACAATAGATCCGTTTACGGAGCTAATTGGTATGCACGCTCACTAAATCTAATTGGTGGAAATTAATGAAATGGTAAAAAGCGTTTTTCCACTTCAGTCAAACGCTCAAGTCAAATGACGCGCATCTTTTTATGCTAAAGCGTCGTTTATTTATCATGTTTGGTACAGCAAAACGAAATGGATTTCGGTGACGAATCAAGCCATAAAATGGAAAAATTTCAACAATAAAGCTGTAAAACTTTGAAAATTTAAAGACACTTTACGTGTGAATAAATCGTATAATTGTCATTTCAAGTTCGCGTTGATACATTGCGCGCATTAGATTATTATCGCAATCGTAATCTAGCATATTCGGAATTTGAAAGCAAAAGCTGTCTACTTTTTATATATATAATAAATGCTGCATGTCATTGGGCTTAAAGATTTTAAACGTGCCAAAATTCCGGAGAACAGTGAATACTAGTAAATTAGATGGCGAAGAGGCGGTTTTCGCTATTTCTCTACTCTTTCAACTTAATGGCTATAGAAATACTATGGAATCTGTTTGGAATTCGCGACATTTAATGTATGCGCATTTCATTCACTACATATGTCGTGGTTCATTTTTGACTCAATAACATGAAACGCAAAGTCGTTTTCACTCCTACAAGCATGTTCCGTTCCGAATGAATGTAATTACATGACGCAATACTTTGTGCCTTGGATTAAACGACATCATTCAATGCTTTCTCTCTCTCTCTTTCCTTCTCATTTTTCTCTCACCGAAGATAATCAACATGCGAATGTGGAAGAATGGATTTTAAAGTGCCGTCGAAAAGTGAAAAGGTAATGTTGAACATGGTAAAATTGTAAATGAGTCCCAAGAAAGAACCATTTTCATATAATATGGTGAATATTATATTAACATATTCTCTGTTGTATTTTGCTAAATGAGTTTCTCATTTCATTTATGGGCCGCTTCTATTTGGTTCAACACAAATCCTTAAATCAACAACTATATTAAAGTTTTTCACCACCCTCCCGCTCGTTATCTATTTTTCATTCGCCGTTGTGAATGATGCGCTTTCAATTAAATTCATCCTTGGAATTGTGTGGGGTTAGCTTTGAAGTGTTTCAAAAATAAATAATATTAGATAAAACAAACACAATGAAAACGTACTAATTGAAAATTTTTATTGTTCTGTGCGAACCAAAATCAATCAAAAATGATTTGATATAAATGTGACAAATCGAATAAATCCACCGTAATCTTTTATTTCGAAAGCTAACAAATTGTCCGAACTTATGATGACGCTCACGCGATTCTTTGAACAGTGTTATCTTTGTCACTTTGCCGTTTGTATGTCGTAGAAAAAAAAAAGAATGCCACATTTTCAGCATAAAATCACAATTTTGACTAAGTGCATTTTTACAGCTTTACACCGTCGCAAGAATGAACACAACCTACGGAACGCAAGTGCATAAGCCATTCATGGTATTTTATATTGTCGCACATTAATCTAATCCAAGACCGTTTTGTGTGTGTGTGTGTATGTGTCGAATACCGTTTTTTCCAAACAAATGTTATACCATATCCGTCGCAATCTGCACTGTTCGCTCACACAAACTACCATAAACACAATTTGGCAGCACTTAAAAAAACATACGTAATACAAAGCCATCGCCAATTTAATCCGAGATCTTTGGATCAAGTGACTGTAATGATTATCTACCAAATTCGAAGCACACAAAAAGATTTCATCAGAAAGTGAGAGAGAGAGAGAGAGAGAGAGAGAGAGAGAGAGGAAAAAAACGAATCTCACACAATTATTTTGAAGCTTTCAATATATACATATGAAACCGACTGAAAAGTAGAAGAGAAAAAAGTAGCTCGATGTGATAAAAGTGTTTGAACATCTAGACAACGTTACGAATTCGCGTTCGTGAAGCTTTAACATTTGCACATTCGTAAAAAGATAACGGCAAACCGTATTTTATGCGTTTCGGGTTCTTTTTTCTTTCATTTTATTGATATTTGCCGCACCCATACATCCAACGGTTACGATATTGCGATAATTCCTTCTTTGGTCGCTTGAATTGCCTTCGAGTGTGTGATTGCATGGCTTTGGGAATTCATTGATGAAACATACCAACTGCTATCATTATTGCGCCCCCCCCCCAAAAAAAAAGAGATTTACCATTGAACGTCGCTTGCTTGCTTTCATGGCATTTAGTCACAAAAACTATTTTCAACTGCAACCGACCACTTTTTTTAAATATAAATCGTACATGTCCTATGAGGAGCAACAATGCAAAAAAAAAACGGTTTAGTTACAAGAATAGCCAAATTGGACATTTAAATGTACAGCTATATATAGCGAACGATTTAAGTCACGTTCACATTGGCTCGTTGAATTATTCCATCTAATGAGCTTTTGCATCGACCTGATCAATTACTTGCCAGTGAAATTCAAGCGTCGCAGACAATTTTCACACAATGAAACAAAACAAAGTCACACAACTAAGAATACGATAGCTAATGCAAGAGGTGCTGCCAAAAACTACCTGATTTTTTCAAACTTCAATAGACTTCATCAATGAAAGCAACGATATAAAAAACACTGTATTTTTTTTATAACGCATTCAATAAAAACATACCAGCTGGTGTGTTTTTCATTGAGTTTTCTTTACTGGAAATGATCGCGATTAGTTTCCGTTTTTCAATAACTTTTTCTATGCATCATATCCGCCATCGAAAAAGCGAGACGTAGAAAAACGTTTTCTTGCAGCCAGTATAAATCAGAAGTTGATAGAAAAAAAACCGACAGCGTTATGCACACGTTTCATATCCTTTCTAATAAATCTGATCACGTATTGTTCTTTGACGCAGCAGCAACCACAATCCACAGGTTTCTTGGCATGTGAATTTATATTTCGTGTAACAAATAGACGGTGTACCTTTTTCGCTTGTCTTCAGAAGTGGTTTTTAACATTCATAAATTTTAAACAAACATTGTTTTAGCTTAAAATTTTAATTTAAAATTTATGAAATAACTTACATTGCATTTTCAATGAGTGCACAGTAATTGTGAGAAACATAGTTATTGAGAGCGTTGTGTACAACACAATAATCACATATAATACTTTGGAACAGGTCAGAACTCAATTATTTAAATGTGATGTGATGAAACAGTAAACGATAGCATTTGTATAATCGGTGATTTCATCAATTTTCGTATCATTTGTTTTATTTTTTTTACAAGCCAACGAATCGATTTATCGAGACTATAGTTTACTGTGAATGTGATCGGATTTTTTCTATTGCCTTTATCAGATGTGTTTTTGAAGGAAGGAGGAGGAGGAGGAGGAGGTTAGAAGAATATAAGAGTTAAATTTTCGCATTTGTTAGCTAGTCGAATGTTGGGCTACGCAAAAGGCAAGAACGTATTTATGTGCCTATTGCCTTCGAAACTTGAAAATGTGCCAACTATATGCGATAGTTATGCTGCGATATCATCATATACATGCTTCACTTTAACGCAGCTTATTTTTTCAGATGGAGAAATTTCCCCTACCCCCAGATAATTTTGCTAAACATATACGAATATCGTAGGCCATTAATTTGTTATAGACATTTCAGGCTATCATCAACTGACAAAACGTAACCGAAAAAATATATCAAAGCTATAAACAAAAATTTACTGCCACTGATAACGAAAAACCACCCGAGGACAACAATGGTACGATATGCGCAAAAAAAATCTACGAAATACCACATTTTCATATACGTGCATAACAATTTCATTTGAAACTGTGTCCCTTTTGTTTTTGTGATACCTTCACGAAATTTTTGTTGATTGGTGTCTTTGATTCAGATTGACACAATTTTTATTGGATTATATGATTGTAGAGAATATTTTACTACCACTGCTAGACTACTAAAACTGCTACTTTAAAAAACCACATGCAGCCAAATTTTGGGATGGCGCATAATGAATTAAAGAAAAAGTCAATTTAACTAGTTGAAACCATACAATATCGTCACACACACACACTGAGATCATTAAATTTTATGGTGTCTTAAATTTCCCTAACACGTGACAGATGCTCATAAATTAACATGCAACACGAAAATTTTCCGTATTTTTGGGGTTTTTTCATTTGCTTACCTATTCCGTATACTATATTTGGTTTTATGGAAGCAAAAAACAAGCTGCACCTCGAGTCATATGTGACCGAATACAAAATTCCTTTTCGCAGTTTGGCAATCGCAATTTGTATCCTTTTTAAACACACTTCCTTGAAATGAAAATCCAACAATTATATCATATGTTTCCACCGTTCATTTCATAATTGCTCGTAATATGTGCCCGTCCGCCTGCTCGCTTACCTTTCTTTCGTCTATACCATTTGCCGAGATAAAAACACAAGCAGTGTTGTATGGCCACAAACAAGCACAAAACTAATGTTATTTAATTTCGAATCGGTAAAATCAAAAATGGTAAAATTAGCTTCTTGAATTGGTCGAAAAATAGCTACAGTAAAAATGAAACCAGGAAAAAGTATAACAAAAAAAAAAAGAGAATAAATATTGTTGTTTGGTTGTGGAAAAAAATATTTATATGCAATAATCATAAATCACATATGAACCGTTTCTCTCTCTGCGTGTTTTGTTCCGTTTTTCTCAGTTCACGTCGC